CCCTTCTTACCCAGAGTCTGACTCCCTTTGTGCTGCTAGTCCTACTGTCACGTGTCTCCTGGCCACTGTTGTCACTGACCCTTCCTTTGAGTCCACTGCTGCGTCTGCCTTAGTTGCTGAGCTTGTCGACTTTGCTGCTCACTGTCGTCTCGACTGCACCGCTAGTCTTGTTGCTGAGTCTGAGTCTGTCTGTCCTCCGTCCATCGGGGGTGAGTGTGCTCTTGGCACGGACGTCCTTGAGGACAGGCAGGAGGACTTTGAGTGCTTTGCAGCCGCTGTACCTCATCTCGTGTCCATGCTGATTGCACCTGAGGGAGACCCGGATGCACCAGACATCCCGACCCCGCGCTCTTACGCAGAGGCGATAGAGGGTCCCTACTCCTCTCAATGGCAGTCAGCCATGGACGCAGAGATGGCATCCTGGAAGTCTACAGGCACTTACGTCGACGAGGTTCCCCCTCCTGGGGCGAACATCGTCAGTGGCATGTGGATTTTTAGGGTGAAGCGGCCGCCGGGTTCTCCGCCTGTCTTCAAGGCGCGTTACGTTGCTCGAGGCTTTAGTCAGCGATAGGGAGTTGACTTCTTCCAGACCTTCTCCCCGACCCCGAAGATGACCACTCTTCGGGTTCTGCTGCACGTCGCTGCTCAGCGTGACTACGAGCTTCACTCTCTTGAATTCAGCACTGCTTTCCTACAGGGCAGCCTGCACGAGGAGATCTGGCTGCTCGGCCCACCTGGCTTCACAGGGTCGCTTCCTCCTCGTACCCAGTGGAGCCTCCAGCGGCCAGCCTACGGTCTCCGCCAGGTGCCCCGTGAGTGGCACGACACACTGAGGACTACGCTTGCGGCTCTTGGGTTTGCTCCTTCTACTGCTGACCCGTCGCTGTTTCTGCGCACCGACACTTCGCTGCCGCCGTTCTACATCCTCGTGTACGTCGACGACTTGGTCTTTGCCACTGCTGACACTGAGGGACTCGCCCACGTGAAGTCGGAGCTGCAGAAGAGACACACGTGCACAGACCAGGGTGAGCTGCGCAGCTATCTTGGCTTGCAGATCACCTGGGACAGAGCACGGCGCACCATTACCTTGACTCAGTCACACATGGTGCAGCAGGTCCTTCAGTGCTTCAACTTCACGTACTCCTCGCCTCTGGCCACACCTCTGTCTACTCGCCACTCGCTCTCAGCTCTGCCTTCGGATGAGTCCGTAGAGCCGAGTGGCCCGTACCCAGAGCTTGTTGGCTGCCTCATGTACCTGATGACCTGCACTCGACCTGACCTGGCATACCCTCTAGCATCTTGGCACGCTATGTTGCTCCTGGGAGACACCGACCATAGCACATGGCTGCAGCTAAGAGGGTGTTTGTGAGGATCTAGGATCGAGCTCAGAAAAGAGAGTTTGAATTGAATGATCACCTGGGTACAACACGAGGCTATATATAGGCTCGACACAAGGCCCCGTAACCAGGTGTTACGTGAAGGTTCCGCGGGTCGCGAAGCGTCCCGAACAGATCCTTCCCGAATTCGGTAGAAGGCAATTCGGTGGCAACCGAAAAGCCAGAATTCGGTGCACGCAACCTAGCTCGGTGCTATAACTATAATAAAATATAGGAAAGCACCTAGCCTAGGAAATCAAGCAATTCATGCATGCATATGATTATCCTATGCTAGAAATAGCATAATAAAGTAAAGGCAAGCAAGCATAGCTGGCATAAGCCGTCGTACTCTCACAGTGTTGCGCTACCTGTGCAGTACGTCGGGCATGGGGCTCGTGCTTGGAGGACGGGCTCGAGTTGTCCTCACTGGTCACACAGATGTTTCTTGGGTTGACGACTTGGCTACGCAGCGGTCGTCACAGGGTTACACCTTCAGCCTTGGTTCCGGCTCTGTTTCGTGGAGATCTACGCTGGGGCCATGGCTGCACAGGAGTCATGCTGGCTCACCTACCTGCTGACCGACTTGGGAGAGGCGCCTCGTTCTCCTCCAGTTCTGTACGTCGACAACAAGGCCATGCTGGCCTTGTGTCAGGAGCACAGACTGTAGCACAGAACGAAGCACATTGCTCTGCGCTACTTCCTTGCTCGAGAGTTGCAGCAGCGTGGTCGGCTGTGTCTTGCTTACGTGGCCTCTCGGGCCAACACTGCTGATATCTATACCAAAGCCGTTCAGCCTTGTGATCATCAGCGTTTCTGTACTATGCTAGGTCTTATGCCTACCGGGCCTCACTTGCTTACCTCTTGACTTTGTTTGTACTGTGATCTATATATACCTGCACCTGCATGCTTACCCTTGCTAGGTTGAGATCACTGTCTTGCTTGTTCACCTTGCATTATAATCCTGCATGTGAACTGGCCTTGTAGCCTTGAACTGGTGCTCAAAATGTATGGTGATGTTGTGATCCACCCTGAGCTTGACCTTGCCTTGTTCTGTTGCTTGTCCCCCACTTTGCCTATGGGGGTGTGTCAGAACTATATTGTAGGCTGCAGTGGGTTAGACAATATGGGGTACAACTCTTTTTAGGTTTTCATACTTGTACCCACCTGCTTGCAAGTTCATTCATTCCTCGTTCTTATTCTCACAGTTTGACATTGTTTTTTTTTAGCGTTTGTTTGATAACAATGCATTTGGTTTACAGATTACGAGTCAGCATATCGAGTGTTGAACGTGCGGCCTTGTAAACGCCGCTATTTTAAACCAAAATGCGCATTTTGTGGAGTACATGTGGACAGTCAGTTTCGTTTTTGCTGAGTCAAACCCTACTTGTACGGTGTACATTCTGGTTGGAACGCGAAGTTACCAGCCAGGAATTCCGGATGCACTAGGTTCATTACCATTCAGGCAATAATGTTGACCATTTTGGCATGATGGTTTCTACGGTGGCGATAAGAGGATACCTGTAAGGAAAATTCCTTTTCCTTACTTCGCGTCCCCGCTCAACGCGTACACCACTGTAGCACCACAGTCAGCACCGTTACCACTCGCAACTCTCGCATCGACAATCCTCCCGCCACTTTCGCACGTCGCACCCTGACCTCACGGCTCGGCGGGTAACCCGCGCTCCGGGCCTCCGCTTCGACACTTTTCCCAACCTCATTCCCAGGCCCGTCACGCGACAACCACAGTCCATTACCGTTACCACTGTAGTTTCGCTATATATTCTTCGCTCATGCCTTCGCTCATTGTACTTTTGCTTCGATAGTGCAATTCTCGCTCGCTCACTCAATTGCACTCGTAACACTTGGTATTCAGAGCCTACGATCCCTTCTCGGACTGCACCCACACCTTCGCTTCCTCAACTATCTCAATTTTTGGGGGGGGTAGACGTCTCTCAGCGACACAGCACCGCCGCTCGTAGTGCTCTCTCGTAAGCACGCACGGCCACGACCGAGGCCTCGCTGAGCTCGCCCGACACCCCCGCCATGGCCGAATTCACGCTCGCAACATTGACGCAAGAGCAGCTCGACCGTCTGGTGCGCCAACTTGAAGATTCGGCGCTCGAAATTGCGACGCTCACGGCGGAACGTGACTCCGCGCGTCAGCAATCAACGGTGAACACTCCAGCGCCACCACACGCACCGACAAATGCATCTGCACAATCAGACGAGCTGATCGTCATCTCGTCCGGCACACCAACACAAAACAACAGCGTGGGACAGCGCTCTGGCGCAGCCAGTGATGGCGCCGCCCAGCCGATGCCTGGCATGGGAGGAAACAGGGTCGCACCAAGCCCGCGGGAGCCTCGCGAAGCCCGTCGGCATGTGGAGTTCGCGGCGACAAGTGGCGAACAGGCCATTATGGCACCAATGCCACTCAAGCCGCAACGCCCGCCCTGCTTCGACCCGAGCCAGCGTGGATGTCCGACGGTTCAATCGTGGGTCTTCACGATGAACGTCTTCTTCGACGCGAATTACGTCGAGTCGGACACAGCGAAGATTCGGTATGCCGTTTCGCTGCTGAGGGGCCCCGCCATGGACTGGTGGCGAGTCATCGTGACGTCGCCACGCGCCTACGAGCCACCGTCGCAAGAGGAAGGGCCCACGGGTCCAGCTGTCACCTGGAGTTCATTCTGCAAGACAGCCCAGTACAGCACGTGGGATGCATGGTGCGCAGGGCTTCGGGCGCGCTTCGAGCCAATCGCGGCTTCTATTTCAGCGTGTCAGAGACTGCGTACTTGGCGGCAACTCGGATCGGTTCAAGACTACACGAGTGGTTTTCTCGCATTATGCGAGCAGGCCATTATGGCTACATTCACGAAGCAGAGCGAGTGGACCGTTACATCGGAGGGCTGAAGCCGGACATCTCGCACGAGATTATGCTACGCGGACTCTCGAACTTCAACGAGATTCTCGCGCTCGCCGAGAAAATCGACATTTTACGCCGTCCGAGACCGGGGTCCTACTACGGACATCGTCCTCGGGGACCGATCGAGCATGCCACCGTACATGCCGTTGCAACGAATGCAGCTGCCGCGCCGTTTAAGAGGCGCTGCTTTGCTTGCAATAGGCCGGGCCATCGCAAGAGTGAATGCCCAGAGGAGCTAAGGCGCAGCGGAGCAGAGCAGAGGAGGGAGTCTCCAAGGCAGGGAAACGCCAGCAGTCAGTAGGAATCGGGCCAACTACTGACGAGACTGCCTGCTTGCCCAACCCCACCGACCCTCACCGAGTCACATGAGAAGAAACGAGGAATGAAATGACTAAGTGAAAGTTGGGTACAAAAAGCAAACCCTAGAAAACTGTACCCCATATGTGCTACCCCACTATAGCCTACAGTAGCTATGTCATATCAATCTGACACACCCCCATAGGCAAAGTGGGGGAGAACAAGGGGTCACAAGACCAGTCAAGCAAAGCAAAGCAAGCTCAGGCTGGATCACAAAGTCACCACACATTCCGAGCACAAGTTTAAGGCCACAAGGCCAGTTCACATGCAGGATTACATATATATATAAGGCTAGACAAGCAAGAGCAGGTGTATATATATATGCAACAGTACAAACAAGGTCAAGGGGTGAGCAAGTGAGGCAAGGTAGGCACAAGACCCAGCTGAGTACAGAAGCGCTGATGATCACAAGGCGCAAGTGCCTTGGTGAAGATATCAGCACTGTTGGCCTGAGAGGCCACGTACGCAAGCCGCAGCTGACCACGCTGCTGTAGCTCACGAGCAAGGAAGTAGCGGAGAGCAATGTGCTTCGTTCTGTGCTCCAGTCTCTGCTCCCGACACAAGGCCAGCATGGCCTTGTTGTCTACGTACAGCACTGGAGGAGAACGAGGCGGCTCTCCGAGGTCAGTCAGCAGGTAGGTGAGCCAGCGAAGCTCCTGTGCAGCCATGGCCCCGGCGTAGATCTCAGCCTCACAAATGGAGCCGAGAACAGAAGACGAGCGGGTAGCCCGCCACGAAACAGAGCCGGAACCAAGGCTGAAGGTGTAACCCTGTGACGACCGCTGCGTAGCCTGGTCGTCAGCCCAAGAAGTGTCTGCGTGCCCAGTGAGGACCACTGGACTCTGCCCTCCAAGCACAAGCCCCATGCCCGACGTACTGCACAAGTAACGCAACACCCTCTTCGCTGCAACCATGTGCTCCGGTCTGTGTCTCCCAGGAGCAACATAGCGTGCGAGAATGCTAAGAGGGTATGCGAGGTCAGGTCGTGTGCAGGTCATCAGGTACATGAGGCAGCCAACAAGCTCTGGGTACGGGCCACTCGACTCTACGGACTCATCCGAAGGCAGAGCTGAGAGCGAGTGGCGAGTAGGCAGAGGAGTGGCCTGAGGCGAGGAGTACGTGAAGCCGAAGTGCTGAAGGACCTGCTGCACCATGTGTGACTGAGTCAGGGTAATGGTGCGGCGTGCTCTGTCCCGGGTGATCTGCGAGCCAAGGTAGCTGCGCAGTTCACCCAGGTCTGTGCACGTGTGTCTCTTCTGCAGCTCGGACTTCACGTGGGCGAGTCCAGCAGTGTCAGCTGTGGCAAAGACCAAGTCGTCGACGTACACGAGGATGTAGAACGGCGGCAAAGAAGTGTCGGTGCGCAGAAACAGCGACGGGTCGGCAGTGGAGGGAGCAAACCCAAGAGCCGCAAGTGTAGTCCTCAGTGTGTCGTGCCACTCACGCGGTGCCTGGCGGAGACCGTAGACTGGCCGCCGGAGGCTCCACTGGGTGCCAGGAGGAAAAGACCCAGTGAAGCCAGGTGGGCGACGCAGCCAGATCTCCTCGTGCAGGCTGCCCTGCAAGAAAGCAGTGCTGAAGTCAAGAGAGTGCAGCTCGTAGTCGCGGTGAGCAGCTATGTGCAGCAGTACCCGAAGAGTGGTCATCTTCGGGGTGGGAGAGGTCTGAAAGTAGTCAACTCCCTGCCGCTGACTGAAGCCACGAGCTACGTAACGCGCCTTGAAGACAGGCGGAGAACCCGGCGGTCGCTTCACCCTGAAAATCCACATGCCACTGACGATGTTCGCCCCAGGCGGGGGAACCTCGTCAACGTGTGCCTGTGGACTTCCAGGAAGCCATCTCTGTGTCCATAGCTGCCTGCCACTGAGAGGAGTAGGGACCCTCTATCGCCTCCGCGTAAGAGCGCGGAGTCAGGATGTCAAGTGCATCCGGGTCTCCCTCAGGGGTAAGCAGTACGGACACGAGATGAGGTGAAGCAGCAGCCAAGCACTGGAACTCCTCCTGCCTGTCCTCAAGGACGTCCGTGCCAAGGGCACACTCACCCCCGACGGACGGAGGACAGACAGACTCAGACTCAACGACAAGACTAGAAGCGTAGTCTAGACGACAGCGAGCAGCAAAGTCGACAAGCTCAGCAACTAGGGCAGACGCAGCAGTGGACTCAAAGGAAGGGTCAGTGACGACAGTAGCAAGGAGACGTGTGACAGTAGGACTGGCAGCACGAAGAGAGTCCGACTCCGGGTCGGGAAGAGCAGGAAGAGAGGACGCAGGAGGAGAAGGCAAAGGGGCACGCAGAGGAGCAGTGGACGGACGTAGAGACATCCGGTGCGTGCCAGGGACAGGAGGAGGACGCTGACGCGAACCACGGCCACTAGTGCGAGCAAGACGGACAGGCGACGCAGGGCGAGACGCAGGCTCACGACGCTCAGCCAGAACTCCAGTAGGACCAGTGTAGGGAGAAGGAGCGGGCAGTGTGGAGGCCGGCTGTAACTGTAACTGGGACGGGACAGGCTGTGGACACTCTAAGGGAGGAGGAGGACCAGGAGAAGGCGGGAGACCAAGAACCTGCTGAAGGAGCGGAACGAAGTACGGCCGAGGCCGCGCGGCGACTCCAGACACAGCAGGGACAGCACCAGTACCCCCAGCGGCAGCACCAGCGCCAGCAGCACCTCCAGCTCCAGTACCTCCAGCAGCACCAGTAGCACCCCCAGCAGGACCGCCTCCAGGACCGACAGCAGTAGCCTCAGCGCCAACACCCTCAGCAGCTCCAGCTCCAGACGTACCCGCAGGCCCAGCAGCTCCAGTACTCCCAGTACGAGCACCTCCGGGACCCGCGGCACCAGCACCCTCAGCAGTCGAAGAACCTCCAGCTCCAGCAGCACGCCTCCAGCGCCGGGCAAACCACTCTCGCAGCTCCTGTGGAGAGAGTGGCTCCCGACGAGACGAAGCACCCGGAGAACCTCCAGGCTCAGCACCGCCAGACGCGACACGAGCAGGCCCAGCTCCCTCAGGCTCCGCACCCCCAGGCTCAGCACCTCCAGGCGTAGCACCCCCAGGCTCAGCACCCCCAGGCGTAGCACCCCCAGGCTCAGCCGCCCCAGGCTCAGCACCCCCAGTAGTAGCACCCCCAGGCTCAGCACCCCCAGGCGTAGCAACCACACGCTCAGCACCCCCAGAGTCAGCACCCCCAGGCTCAGCACCCTCAGCAGCACCAGAGTCACCAGTAACCTCGACAGGCTCGACCGCGTCTACCTGGGACACACCTGAAGGGGCAGGACCCTAAGGGGGGAGGGGGTCTACCGGGGGGGGACCTGGCACAAGGAAGAGCGGTGGCGGGGGGAGGGACGGAGTGCGGTAGGGGAAGAGACGGTAGTAGGGGACCGACTCGTCAAACGTGACGTCCTGGGAGGACAGAACACGGCGAGAGGTGGGGTGGTAGAACTGCCACCCTGGCGCGTCAGTGGGGAAGCCAAGGAAGACGCAAGGAGCAGCACGAGGGGACAGCTTGTCCGCAGACAAGTCGCGGACAAACGCCCGAGATCCCCAGACACGGAACGCAGACGCATCGCCAACCTTCCCCGTCCACAGCAAAGCTGGGGAGGTCTCCGGCATGGAGACCCTGGGGTGAAGGTTGATCTGATGCGCCGCGTACCGAACCGCAAACGGCCACAGAAAATGGGGGGCAACCGCATGCATCATGGACGTACGGGCGACGTCCATGACCATGCCAATGCGGCGCTCAGCAATCCCATTTTGCTGTGGAGAGTCCGGAAGCGTGAAGGTCTGGCGGATGCCTCGTGCACGACAGTAGGCTCGCAGAAGGCCAGAGGAGAACTCTCCACCTCTGTCAGAGTGCAGACGCAGAACAGGAAAGTCCGAGCCGAAGCTCTGCCTGAGCTGGAGACGAGCTGCGCGGATCCAGTCGATCAACACCTCAGTGACATCACCCTTGCTGCGCAAGGGGAAGACTGTGGTGTAACGCGAGTAGTCGTCAACCACCAGCAGGAAGTAGCGCTCGTGACCCTGTCCACGGACGCAGGCCGGGCCCCACACGTCCATGTGAAGCGTCTGCAGCGGGGCCTCTGTCGGAGGAAACTGGGAGGAGTGAGGGGCAGCCCGCTGCCGCCCCTCGACACAAGGGACGCAGGTAGGGCCGGGCCCCGGAGGAAGGGGAGGGAGGGACCGGGGAAGACCAGAGACAAGGACACGGGAGGCCATGCCTCGGAGACGAAGCAGGGAGGGGTGACCAAGGCGGTGGTGCCAGAGGAGAGTCTCGTGCGACAGGAGGCGACACGAACAGGGGGCAGACTCAGGACCAGACCTGGACGCTGCAGCAAACACCTGACCCGACGCAGCTACCTGACCAGACGCAGTGACTGGAGGAGACGCAGTGGTCAGTGTGTACAGGCTCGACCCCGGCCGACGTGTAAACGTGGCCAGGTGTCGGCCTGTCCGAGCGTCCGTGCAGTGGGTCACCCGCTGACTCGCAGGAGTGAACTGGTGAACCCCCGCATCCTGTAGGTCAGCACCACTCACCAAGTTCGTAGAGAACGAGGGGAGGTAAAGACCAGACAGGGTGCCAGAGGGGGCCGCCGGACACGGGAGGACAGTGGAGAAGTGAGCAAGGACAGGACCCCCAGAGGGGTCTGCCAGAGAGACTGCAACTGGCCGGCCAAGCGGCGTGAGTGTGGTGCGGTCTCGAAAGAAGGAGCGAGAAGCCCCCGAGTCAAGGGTGAAGGTGTGGGAGGCCGAAGCCGACGCAGTACCTGAGGACTCACCAGCACCTGAGTGAGCAGACGCACGAGCACCTAGAGCAGCAGCCTCGCTAGCACCTAGAGCAGCAGCCTCACCAGTACCTAGAGTAGCAGTCTCAATGCCCGGGTCGGGCGGAAAACACCGGTAACAGTCACTCTCATCACTAATAGTCACAGCATACATGGCAGCAAGAATAGCATCAAAGTCAAGGTCAAAGACAGCTACACCCGCCCTAGACAGCTCGCCCCAGCGGGGGAACTTAGTGGCCTCAGGGAACTGGTGACACCAAGCGTCCGTCAGGCGGCCAAAGCAGCGCGTGGTGGAGTGCGCACCCCCGCACGGCTCACCCGCGCGGTCGCCGGTGCGTAGGACGTAGGTGCACGGACCAGTACCCCCACCCCGCTGGCGTGCAGCGTACCACTCACGGAGCTGCTGAGGGGGGGGGATGTCACGAGTGCGCTGCTGCCGCTGCTGCTGCTGCTGCTGGCGCTGACCACCACCGGAGCCGACCCTCTGCCCAGCGCCACCCCGACCAGCTCCACCTCCTCCGCCGCCGCCTCCTCCACCGCCGCCACCTCCGCCACCTCCGCTCCCACCGCCACCGCCGCCGCCGCCTCCGCCTCCACTGCCGCCACCGACACCTCCACCCCCGCCACCACTCCCACCACCACCCCCACCCCCTCCACTGCCGCCACCGCCACCTCCGCCACCCCCGCCAGCCCATCCAACACCCTTGCCCCCCTTGCCCTTGCCGTTGCGGCGTCTCCCGCTAGGGGCAGACGCAGCGCCGACCGACTCGGTGCCAACGAGGTTGACAGCAGCAGCAGAGGCAACAGAGGGCAAAAGGGGAACGGGGGAGCACCCCTCAAAGAAGGGGGGACGAGGGTCACCACGAGAGGCTCCTACAGCGACTATACTCTTCTCAGCTGCCAGGAGGCGCTCCTCGAGGAGGTCAACGGTGAGTGTGGTGGGGCAAACAGAGAGGAAGTGGTCCCTGACCGAGCGAAGGGAGTCAGGGAGCCGGGTGACTAGGTAGTAGAGGGTGATGTACATGGGGGGGGGGGGGGGGTTCTTGGTGCAGAACTCAGCAGGAAGCGCAGCGCGGTAGTGGGTGTCACTAGTGCGGAGGTGCGTAATGAGGTCAGTGACTGTGGGAAAGGCGGCGAGGTCAGGGAACAGGTACGGCAGCATGAGGCGACTAAGGGCAGCAGTGGCAGGGGAAGAGTAGCGTGCAACTACAGCGTCATACAAGGTCTTAGCACTCTTGTACTGACTAAAGTGCGCGCGCTCAGTGGACGGCAGGTGACTACGCACAGCAAGACGGGCAGCAGCATCGCGTGTGGCCCACTGTGAGCGAACAGTACTGTCAGCATCGGCAGTAGGGGCAGCAGAGGCGCCAGACGTGAGATCGAATAGTGAGAGACCGTCTTTTCTATCGCACTGCAGGAAAAGCTGCAGATCATCGACCCAGACCTCAAAGTCGACAGCCCGACCCTCATCATCAAATGTGAGCACATTGGGGGTATCCATGACAGCAGCAGCAGCGGCAGCGCGACTCAGCTAAAGGGGCGTGGCTCGGCAGGGCGCTTACCAGTGGCGAGTGGGTAGGGTGGCTGCGACCGTTGTGGCAGGGCCGAGGTGCGCGGGCAGGGTCGGGGCCGCAACTGGGCAGCAGGGTAGGGCCGCGGCTCGGCTGCAGGTCAGGGCCGGGGCAGCAGGGGCGCGGCGCGCGACACCAGCAGGGCCGGCAGCTGCTGTGGCGGCAGGGACGGCGACGGCAGCTGCTGCAGGGACGGCCGCTGCTGCAGGAACAGGGACGACGGGGCGGGAGGGCCGCTACAGCGGCAGCAGGGGTGACGGGAGCTGCTGGTGAGGCGGCGACGAAGGGGCGGCAGGGCGGCTACGGCGGGCCGCGAAGAGCCGCGAAGGGGGAGGGGGGGGGGCCGCGAAGGCGCCGCCAAGGGGCCCAAAGGGGCCGCAAAGGGCCGCAGAGGGGCCGAGAAGGGGCCGCGAAGGGCCTAGAGGGGGCCGCGAAGGGCCACGAAGGGGCCGAGAAGGGGCCGCGAAGGGCCGAGAGGGGGCCGCGAAGGGCCGCGAAGGGGCCGCGAGGAGCCGTGAGGGGGCCGCAAAGGGCCGCGAAGGGGCCGCGAAGGGCCTTAAGAGGGGCCGTGAGGGGCCGCGAAGGGGTCGCGACAGGGCCGCGAAGGGGCCGTGAAGGGGCCGCGACGGGGCCGTGAAGGAGGGCCGCGAAGGGGCCGCTAAAGGGGTCGCGAAGGGGCCGCTAAGGGGCCGTGAAGGGGCAGGCCACTAAGGGGCCGCGAAATTTTAGGGCAGGACGCAAAGCGCGCTTCGGGCAGGCTAAAAAAAAAATCGAAGGTGGGCCCTTTGGAAGAAACGGTCCCACTAGGGAACCCGCTCTATACCATGTGAAGAATGAGGAATGGATTGACTAGGAATGTGAAAGGTACAAGTATGAAACCCTAGAATATCTGTACCCCCTATTGTCTACCCCACTACAGCCTACATAGGCTATATCATATATGTCTGACAATCTAGGGGACTGAAGAAAAAAGTACACCCCTATAGGATGGCACGTCCTTTGAGAGGCATCAACCCTGAACACGATACGACAAGATATTTAGGGTTGAGCATCTCCATTTAAATCCCATCTGAATGGGTTTTAGTTTTTTTTTTTTTACTTGGGAACAGAAGTCAACCTTCGAGTTTCACCCGTCTAAAAGTGATATTCTTAGGGTCATTATGCATCACTGGAACAGTGGACAATCAAATGGTAACAAGAGATCGCAGATGTTTTTAACGAGTAAACGAGAGTTGTTGCGAAATTATTTCGCAATACTATGGACAAAACGGCACGCGCGAGAGAACTTTCATCGAATCCCTACAGTGACTTGAGTAGTTTCAACTTTCTATCGATCGTTTCAACGAGTGACCAAACGTGATAGCTTTTCGGAGCGAGATGTGACCATGCGTGATAGCAGTGTGATCAGAAAGCTACTGTAAGAGTACGTTTCTATCCCGTGTCAGACACGAAGCCAGACACGAAGTTGTGGTTGGGAAGACCCAAAGGGACTCGGAATGTTGGCAAATTTAGGTTCAGAAGACACAAACCAAGTCACTTTGTGTCTTTCGAAGCTTTGACCTGATGTCTGTCGCGGGATAGAAACACACCCTAATGTGACTGTTCGTGATACCCTTGTGATCAAAAGTGATAAAACGGGAAAATTTGTGACTGCCTAAATAATTTCCCTTTGGGTAATTACCTCCACGGTAACACTCATTGAGCTCGATCGCACGCGAAGTAAGCCACGTGTCCAAATCGTAACGAAGGTATCCTCTCATCGCCACCGCAGTAACCATTATGCCAAAATGGTCAACATTATTGCCTGAATGGTAATGAACAGTGCATTCGGAATTCCTGGCTTGTAACTTCGCGTTCCAACCAAACTGTACACCGTACAAGAAGGGTTTGAGTTAGCGAAAAAAGAAACTGGCGTTCACGTATACCCCACAGAATGTGCATTTCTCTTTAGTGTATAAACGCTTACAAACGCAAAACATTACATGCACGTAAGCGCTACAATTACGGTGCTATCACAATAATAGCTGTCAGAGGTCCACTGGTGATCCCCGATTGATCCTAGGGAAGGGTTACAGGCCCGTTGTCCTGGGGGGTTATGGGCGCACTGACCCACTACTTAACAAGCCCTTTTATCCCAATGGTCTAGTGGTTGGGATTCTGATAATAGCAAGCATCTTACAGAAAATATATAAAAGCATGTAGCAATTTACAAGATCAGTTCATTCATTCAAATTAATTTGATTATATTATTATCTAACTGTATGATATAGATCAGCTAGCACTCAAAATCATGATTTACCAAACTTAACATAAACGGTTTTGATAATTCATGTGATACATAATTTGATACATCAAAATTTTGATTTCTAAATGCAGATATCAAGATTTTGTATTCGCAAAAAAAATATTGTTAAAATTGATACTCTGATTTTTTTTCTTAATTTAGCTTCAAATCTTAAGATTCTTAAATAGGTGTCTCGTAGAGTAACGTGTCAGAATATTATGCTCTAGCCTGTAGTGGGGTGCTCTATAGCGAGTACAACCCTTCTAGGGTTTGCTATTTGTATCCTCATTCTTGCTAGTGCAACCCTCCTTCTTTTTAAACTTTCACATGCTATCAGAGCAGGTCGATCCCCTTGGATCGATCCTGTGGGTGGGCTCACCGCCTCGTTGCTTCCGCTGCAACTTCCACTACTACCTTCTG